AGACCAGGAGAGACAGCTCTGCAAACCCTACTAAACCCTAAACCCTAATAAACCCTAATAAACCCTAATAAACCCTAATAAACCCTAAACCCTAAACCCTAAACCCTAGCCCCTATTCACCTATGAAGACGGCCTCCCCCCAAGTAGAGAAAGGGTGTTTGCTGAGGAGGTTATATCCGACAACCAACTCTGCTGTAAACACCTGAACAACAAACCCTAAACCCTCATAAACCCTAAACCCTAAACCCTAAACAACCCTACATCCCTAGGCCATAACAATCCCTAAACCCTAAACCCTAATAAACCCTAAACCCTAATAAACCCTAAAACCTAATAAACCCTAAACCCTAGACATCCCTAAGCTTTAGACCGTAAACAACCCTAAACCCTAAACCGTCGCGTGTAAGTACAGTGAAACCGCAGTTTAGGGTTTAGGGTTTAGGGTGTTATAACCTCTGTGAGGATAGCCCAGTAAGAGAGGCCGCTGGCGCTCTTTGCAATGAAGACATTTAGTAGTTGAGGTGTCTTCACTATTAATGCACCCGCTAATATCAGCACATTCAGAGTTAAACCCGCAGACTGCATGTACACCCCAACACACACAGCAGCAGCAGCAGCAGCAGCAGCAGCAGCAACAGCAGCAGTAGCAGCAAAGGCAGCGGGAAGGTGAAGAAATAAAATATTATTATATGGGTTTAGAGGGACAGCGGGGAGACAAAAGGAGACAAATTAAAAACACCGCCTTAATGAAGGTAGAGACAATAAGGTTTCTGATCAGTGCTTCTAGGGTTTAGGGTTTAGGGTTTAGGGTTTTAAGTGCTGCAGCAACTGCCCTATCTGCTGGATAACACCTCCAGAGCAGCAGCAGCAGACGCTACAACCAACTCAACAGCAGAAGCATAGCAGCAACAGCGGCGCAGCAACAGCGGCCCAGCAGCAGCAGAGCAGCAGCAGCAGAGCCCCAGCAGCAGAGCAGCAGCAGGAGCAACCTAGCAGCAGCAACAGCGGAGCAGCAGCAACAGAGCAACAGCAGCGCATGCAGAAACACACTGACCTCTTTAATGCATGCAGAAGACAACTCCCAGCGATCGTAAGCAGCTGCGCAGCCAGCAGAGGCTAAACCGCAAGACTGTAATACATAGCCCAATCTCATCCTCAGGGTTTAGGGTTTAGGGTTTAGGGTTTAGGGATTAGGGTTTAGCTGCTCTCGAGTAGAGCTGCAAACAAGAGAGTCTCCGAAAAGAGGCGCTGTCTGCTGCTGCTGCAGCAGCAGCAGCATTAGGAGAAGTAGCAAACCACTGCCACCGTTCTTGATTTGCTGCTGGCGCTGCTGCTGCTCCTACTGATGCTGCTGCTGTCTGTCTGTTTGCTGCTGCTCCTGTCTCTCTGTCTCCGTTTGCTGCTGCTGCTGCTGCTGCTGCTTATGCTCAGCGGTGTGATGTATGTAGACTCCTCCGGTGTACATACACCTCAGCTGCAGAGAAAACAGCTCTTGTGTTGTTTTGGGGTTTAAACGAAGGCCAATGAGTGTAAAAAAGACAAATAAATAAATAAAATATAAATAAATAAATAATATCAAAGAAAACGTCAGGAAAACAGCAGCACGTAGCCAAGACGTGCAGCAGCAGACGGAGGGGCCCCCCTCTGTCTTTCTTACATTTGTTTGTGAAGCTCTCGAATGCGTTTAAACATATTTATTTTATTTATTTAATTTATTATTTTTAATTAATTTTATTTGCTTTAATTTTAAAAAGAATGACAAGAAAATGCTGCTGCGGCCACCCCCCTATACCAGCAGTAGTTGCGTATACACCGCAATAAAAAGAAAACAAAATGAATAAAGAAGAAACAAATAAATAAAAAGCAAATAAATAAATAAATAAAAGGCAGAAGAATAAAGAATAAACTCAAAATAAGTAATTAAATGTTTAGATTACACATAATAATAATAGTTAGACATTGAGCTGTTTATGGTGTAACACACAAACAACTCTGAGTTAAGAGTTATTATTTCTAACAAATAAATAAATAAATATATATATATATAGAAATATATTATAATATATATAATATATCTATATATATATATATTAAACTTATATAATATCTATTTATAAATAATTAATTAGCAAAGTATATAATATATAATTTTGTTTCTGCAGCAATGTACAGTGGTGTAGAGAGAAGAAAATCATAAGAAGCAAAGAAGCGCGACTACAGTTTATAATAAAATAAAGTATTATTTATATTATATATATAATATATATAATATATTATATATATATTAATTTATGTTATTGTATACAATATATGCTGCGCTTACTCAAAATATATAATAGTATAGCTTTATTATAATATATAATAATATTATTATTATTATTACTATTATTTTTATTGTTATTACTATATCAATAATAATAATAGTATTAGTATTACTATATTATTATTATTATTATTATTATTATTATTATTATTATTATTATTATTATTATTATTATTA